GTGAATTGACATCTGATTCCTCCCGGGCTGTGGCTGCTGAAAGATGGGGCACCCTTTATGGGCTGAAGACAAATGTCTACTTTACAGCTTGGCTGGCTGCTAACCGAAGGGTGTTGGTTCAAACCCACCCAGCAGCTCCAGAAGAAAAGACCTGGTCTCTGCCTCCAGAAAGATGAGAGCCAGGGAGGCCCCATGGGGCAGTCACATGGAGTCACTGTGTGTCAGAAATCGAACAGCATCTAATAACAGTGAGAGGGTCAAAGGCATTCAGCAGCCCTTAATTTGCTGGCATCAAATGTACAAATTTCATAGAAAAGAGTTGACAGGAGGCTTGTGTTTGGTATGCTTCCATTTATTTCACTGCACTCAGAAATAAGGATATTGTATAAAAAAGGATTCTCCATGCACTTTGCTCAAGAAACTAATTAAAAGATGCAAAAAACACAGTTACTGCTTGAACAAACCTGTGATATTCTCAACTGGCTTTGAAGAATGGGCTTAAGCTCTTGGATGCCCTACTTCCCACTTTCCAGAGGACTGATCAGTTAAAGTTGTTTTTTTTTTTTTTAGAAAAAAGTTTTATAATCAGACATAAAAACAGCCTTCCATCTTCCATATTTTTAATGCAGAACTAATTTGTATGATTTTACTAAATCATATAACATGACTACACTTTGCATATTTAAAATCATTTTTTCCTAGAAAATATGTATGCCCATTATTAACTAAAGCTCATAAAAGTTCATACAAAAATTCATCTCGAATGGGACCGTCATGTCTTAGGTACTAAATAAATGTTTCAGAACTATAGCTGATTTTATTTTTAACAAACCTTTAAAAACTTTTTAATGAATTTAACTAATTTATAAGATATACTTGTATTCTCAATAATTCCAAAACAGACGACCTTCTGGTAAGGCAAGTCCCAACAATAATCCATGATTCATGATCTAAACTTTAATTGGCACAACTCTTGAAATTCTGAGACCATATGGAAGATAATGAGGCCTAATAGGTCTAAGGTGAAAAGATGGCGAGGGAGTACGGAAGCCAGAAAACTGTCAATTCAAAATGCTGAGCAACTGCCACATCAGTTCCCTAGAGACCCAGAACGGTGTGTTCTCATGGATTTGACTGGTCTTGGAGCTGAACTGCATATTATTTCTCATTCTATACGACAAAGATTAAAATGAGAACAACCACCACCACCTCAAAACTGGCTTCCATAATGAAAAGTGCAAGTGGCGGACTGTTCATCAAGAGGCCACAATTTACAGTGACCGTAACAACCTGATGCAACCGTCGACTGACATTGCAATCTGCCACCCGATTCTAAATAGCAGTAGGTTCCCGCCCCCTGCCCCCTTCATTTCAACTGCTTTCTGGGCACGTTGGCACGAAAGAAACTAAATTCTGTGCACTTTACCATGGCTTTGCTCATCAAGCAACATACCTCTTCACTGCTGTCATCGCCATCGAAACCATCCAGTTGGGCCCCTCTACTTCTCTCACTGCGCTCCTCTTTCAGATCCAAAGTAAACGGGCACCCCTCTGGGG